AAAATCGATTGAGATGTTTTAGTATATGTAACAAAAACGGGGTTATGTATGTACCGGATCTTCTAAATAGATTTAGACAATGGCCCATTAATAGTTAATTAGTTAGCACTAATCAGCCCACTAAACAATGTTAGCTTCCGCTCTCGCCTCTTCATATTTCCCTAAAAAAAAAATTTGTAATCTCTCTGTTTGCGATTTGTAGAATCCTAAAATTTCGTCTACAATGGATTTCGACAATCTGACCGACCAAAGTATTGTCTTCAGAAAACTCTGAGAACAAGGTTCGATTTTTCAATCCACTTTCTGAATTCTCCTCTTTCTTTTGCAAATTGGGATTTGAGAATCGTCAATTTGATAGTGTGTGTGTGTGTCTAGATCTGGGAGTTGTTTGATTAGATTTTCGATTGGGAATACGTTCGTTTATGCTGAATTTTTTGGTTGGATTTTTAGGTTTGCTTTGATTGTAGTGCGAAGAATCCGACATGGGCATCGATCACTTACGGGATTTTTCTCTGCATCGATTGTTCATCTGCCCATCGAAATCTCAGGTGTTCATATCAGCTTCGTCAGGTATAGAACTTTGTTTTTTCCTTGTAGTTGTCTTAGTTTATACGACTATGTTCTAAGATCAGAGCATAGTCTCAGAACTTTGACTTCAGTTCAATTCCACTAGTTTCTTGTAATTAGGCTGGTTCAAGTTATCCATTGACTACATAGCATTTTCAAACTGGTTCTTAGTCTTATTGGACTGACAAACGCCAAATACGTTCTCATGTTTTTTTTTTTTTGGGTATAGGTCAACGAATTTAGACTCATGGAGGCTTGAGCAACTCAGGACGATGGTGTTTGGTGGCAACAACCGCGCTCAGGTGTTCTTCAAGCAACATGGATGGAACGATGGTGGCAAAATCGAGGCTAAGTACACTTCAAGAGCTGCTAATTTGTATAGGCAGATTCTTGCTACGGAAGTTGCTAGAGCCATGGCGGAAGAAACTACTACTACTGGTCTACCGTCATCTATTCTTGCTACTTCTGAGCCGTTGAAAGTTCGAGTAAGCCGTTGTTTGTGTTTTTCACGAAACTGGAGATAGCATCAGAGGTAGCATCCAGTCACACTAATAATTAATGATAATCTTCTAACTAGGTTGAAGAACCAGATGACGCAAGAAAGTTGTTCTCAAACGCTAAGTCCATTTCCTCTGCTCAGTTTTTCGGGTCTTCTGATCTTGAATCAGAAACTACCCTTGACAAGTTTTTGGTGAGGAGATTTGCCACCATTATCACGTCAATCACTTGTTGCGATTTCACTTTGATGAATGTTTATTTGATGTGTTGACAGGTGCAGAAGGATTTCTCAATGGTAGGGAGCATAGTGGGCAAAACGAAGGAGAAGCTCGAAACTTTGGCATCTGCTATCTTTGGCGATGATCTACAATGGTAAGAAACTATCCGTAGTTTTTTTTGGCATAACAAAAAAAAGTGAAGTTACTTGTGATAATAACATAATACGGTTCTTTGTATTTGTTTGTTCCGAATGGGCAGTTCTCCCAAGAACTCAAGCCATCGGCATGCTATTTATGCCCTTCGTAGGGAGGTGACAGACTTAATGCAGAAATTTCACGCCGAGGATGCTGATTCCATCCCTTTTACCACCCGTTCGAAATGGATCAGCCAAGTTACTGATCGAGTAAGTTCCACCACACTCGAATCTCTATGGTTCTTGAGCTTTTTCTAAATAACCTTAATCGTTATGATAAACAGAGTTTATCGTTGGTTGACTCTAACAGATCGTACATGCTACAGTAGGGGTTAAGAGTGTCAGGGAGGACATGCAACTACAACGCATGATTCGTAGCTTTCGAAAGGATCTACGTGACTTATTGATCGAAACACAAGATGCACGGAGTAAACATTCTGATGTTACAAGGCTCTGAAACCATGCCAAAGTAGAAGGATGTCTGTATTTCTGTGTCCAAAACGATAGCAACGATATATATACGTATAAGAGATTAATCAATCGAGTATAAATCAAACTACATAATGTAGTTTCGAATTTCTTTACCAAAAACGTAGTTCCAAATTTCAGTATATAAGAATACAATATAAATGGTGGATTGGCAGCTGCTGTGACAACGACGCTTGGACGCAGTTGCAATGTCAAATATCTTCGAGAAGTAAACTATTTTGGATGCTGCTGAGCTCAAACTACCTGCTGGCTCAGTGAAGGTAAGTAAATATGATTATTGTTTGTATTTGAGATGAAATTCATCAAAAGAGCATCTAATCTTTCTCATTGTGATAATTAGTGTACTGGGGGAGATATATGCTAAGAATTGTTCATGATGTTGTTTACAAGAATGCCCCTTTAGCAAAGACAAGTTTCGGAGGAAATTTGGTTTTTTAGTTTCAGTTTAGGGATTGCTGAGATGATCCAATTGATTCCAATATAGGTTGTTTCCCGTTTTTGGTCAAACCCATGGATAGAGTCTCAATATCATATGATTTTCTTGCAAAGTAATTGTTAGTAGACAATAGGTTACCGTTGCTGAGGTACAGGTACTTCTTTATAGACAGTAAAAAATATGAGAGTAGAGATGTTTACTTCTTGTAGTTATCCAATAGACTACTGATATACAGTAAGCGACGAGTGAAGACTACAAAAGGAGGAACTAAACTTGAAACTGACCAGCTCCATGTTTGTGACAGGGTGTGTTGGGTCTTGTAAGATCAATGTACGCATTGATCTGCTTGGAAGAAGATCCACCTCTGCTTAGATACGGTTACCTCTCTCGGGATAACGTTGGAGATGTGAGGAGAGAAGTGTCTAAGCTGTGTGTGGAGAGCTTAGACCTCACGCGCTTGCACTCGTCGCTTCATTTGGGATTCCAGATGCGTTCTTGAGTCCGATTGCATTCAACAAGGTCGAAGCTAACGCTTGGTCTTCAGTTTAACACTAGTAATAATCTCTACTTCTATAGACCCACATCTCTTACGATTTATGTTTTGCTTAAATATCTCTATTTATTGAAGCTGTTGTATCTAATGAAAATGGGATATGTATGTAATATGTATCCACAGTTTAAATCTTCTTTACTCAAACCGGTCCAGCCAAGTGGAACTCTAAACAAACTCACTTTTGATTCGA